GCGCATAAACGTGACCAACTTTGGCCCCCGTGAAGCGTGCCTGGCCCCTCTCGAGGAGCAGAGGACCTTCATCATCCTGGCCAACACGAAGAACGGCCGACGACTCCGTGGCCATTACGATCACTCTGGAAGCGCGGCCGTTCAGTGGACCAAAGAAAACGAGGAAGAAGTGTGGCGGGCGTTGGGTAAGTAAGACTATGATATTTTTTTTTAAACATATGTCTGTATATTCGTGTGTTGGTTTGTCTATTTTGAGGGATTTTATTCGTTTTTTTTCTCTTCGGTTCAGGTAAGTTTTGACTATATATTTCTTATGTACGATTTTAACTGTACTGCATTACACATACTTTCAAACAATATATATATATATATATATATATATATATATATATATATATATATATATATATATATATATATATATATATATATTCGTAATAGGAAAAATAAAATTTTATTGATTACTGGTTGAGGGTAGTACAGTAGATAACGAAGATGGAGAATGATGGTGATGGTGATAAGGATGATAATAACAGCAACAATAAAGAAAAGAATGATTATAATGATAATAATATATAATAACGAAAATTATAGTAATAATAATGATGATGATGATGATTGATGATGATGATTATAATAACAGTGATAACGACAGTGATAACAGAAACAATAATAACGATGGAAGAAAAAAAACAACAAAAACAACTGTTATATTATTAACAATAATGATAATAACCTTTATTTCAACAACGTACCCAGTAAAATCTAGTTTTTTTTTTTTTTGTTTTGTTTTTTAATCTTTAATTTTTTATTTTAGCTGCTATATAATTTTTTTCTTATGCATTCAAGAAAAGAGAAAGACTGTGTCTGGGTACATTTATTGAAGGTCAAAGGTCATTTTTCTCCCGTATACTAGGTCACCCTTTCTAGCTGGTTGTGTGGTGTTCGAATAGCGATGGTATTGTATTAATGATATAAAAAATCATGATGACAGTACTGACGATATTTTTCATCATTATTATTATTGTCATTATTACGTGATGATAAAGACTATGACGGTGATGTTTATTATTATTATTATTATTATTTTCATGTGATGGTGATCATCATCATCATCAGCAGCATTGTATTCATTATCATTATCATAATTATTATTATTACTATATTTTTCGTAATCTTTGTACACACTCATCATTCTCATTATTTTCAATCTATTTGTATGTTTTCATCTCAAACATTATTATTGATATTTTCATGTTTATTGATTATTTACAAGTATCACCATCTAGACGTTAATATTATAACTATTACAATTACCGATATTGTTATAATGTAACTATGTCATGTTATTATTCTGACTATTAACATCAATATCCCTATTATCATAAACACTATTATTATGGTCACAATTTTTAAGAAAACCTTGTTATTATGGACATCATCATGACACAGATCTTTGAAACTTATGCTGGATAGAAAAAGAGGAGAGATTGACATTAGTAAATTAATCAGTATTAGCATTTTCATTTATTTTAATAAGTCATAGCTGTGTCCATACTGATAATGTTAATATTAATAATAATCGTAACTGCGATGATGATTACAGCAATTTCAACATTAGCAATAGTAATGGATGATGCATTAATCAAATTTATAAAGGAAGAATATCTGTATTATTAACTTCAATTACTATTACTGTTCTTGTTGCTTTTGTCAGTAGTATCATAATTATTGTTAATGTGATTATCCTCGTACTTGTCATCACCATCAAGTATCCATTGCAAGTAGACGAATATTCCACATGAAAAGGGAAAATAGGACAATGAAAATGAACATATATCTTATGTGCAGTTGTATGTTAACTAAATGAATACACGAATCTGTGTAAGAAAACATATATTCTGTACAGGATTTGGTCACAAAATGGGATGCAATGTGTTTCTAAATAATTAAATACATTAGTCTCTTTCGCCTTTGATATAAAACAGAGATAAATATGATGTAATCCTGAAACGAGTGAGGAAGACTGCCGTTCCGTTTATGAGATCCTGACTTCAGGAATGACGATTTCTGGGACGAACTGACTGGCCGGGATTACGATTTCAGGAGCCACGACCTCGTCAGAAACGTTGGGGTTGTCGAAGGTCGGGATTTCAGGTATTTCAGGGATGGAGATTGGCGTTGTGGCGTTGGTGGGCACCAGGTTGACGAGCTCTGCCACCGAATCGATGATCCCGGGCACGATGGCCTCGGCTTGCTCCTGCTGCTTCAGGTACCTGCGGGTGTCGTAGCCGTTGTTGTTCTTGCCTCTCACTTCGATGACTTTGCGGGCCAGGGGCAGGAAGGCCAGGGTGATCTTGCGAATCCTGTCCATCGGGGTTCCTTCGTCGGTAGTCAGGTCGCTGGTCAGTTCGGGCAGGAATTCGCCCACGATGTTCGCCGTGTCCGAAGGGTCGAGCGAAATCACGTCTTCGGTGGTGTCGATTCTCTGTGCTTCGGT